GTCCCCGCCGCTACTGCTGCATGCGGTGAGGTGGTGGAAAGCGGGCGCGGGGCGCGCTGGGGCTGTGCACTGTTGGTGGGGGCGGGGAGGCGCCGCAGGGGGCTCAGGCTCTTGGCTGTTGCAGGGAGGGGGCAGGTATTGACCAGCTCAAGGGGGTGCATGCAGGGGTGAGCTCCCATGCACACCCCACATACCCTCAAACCCTTCCTGCAGACCCCACAGCCACACCCTCCCCCACACACAATCACACACCCTACAAATACCGTACCCACACATACACACACATAGCCACAACCCCCCATACCCACCCACAGCTCCCCACAAACTCCACACCCACCCACCCATACCTCCCAACACTCCTGCATATCCCACACACTATAGAAGACTAAGACTGCATTTTGACCTATTATGCAATTACTTCTACATATATAGCACAAACACACACAAATTAGGACAAATATCTTTTTAAAAATTAAATTAATATATATTATTATGAGTCTTTTATTTGTAGTTTATAATTTGTTTTTTCCCTTGTTCTAAGATGACAAACCCTTTTCCTCAAAGGCGTACTTCCAGGGGAAAGGGGAGGGACTTCCAGTGGCAAAGGCCAGAGGTTAGGGATGAGACTTCTGGTCCCAAGATGGAGACCAGGGAGTGGTGCACCTGTCCAGGGGTGGGACTACCCATGTGGCCCCGGCCCTTGACAGCTTGCCAAAACTCAGTAAGTGACCCTCCACCTGAAATAATTGCCTGCCCCTGGATTAGGGAGTCATCCACCATTGTCTCCCCTCCTCACTTACAAGATAAATGAAGGAAACATACCTAACTGCTTCCTCTCCTAGCGTACGTCTTGGAGCATGCTCAAATGACAATATGTGCCCTGAAATGCATTTCCCTCTAATAAAACAATCTTTCCAGTTGTTTGAATTGTGCAACTAACCTGGGTTTATTTTCTTTTGCAGTGATGGTTCTAACCATGGACTGACCTGTGTGTGTTTTTGTACATAGAATATTTATTTTTATACAGTGTTCTTCTCTGAAATGCCAAAAGTTATGCATTTTACAAATTATCAAAAAACTGCATATTTTTTGTACAGAAAATACTAATTTTCCCTTTTTCTGTTTGTCAATTCTTTGTGTATTTCTATAGCTATCTTATGCTTATTTTGTTGTGGAGTACAGCTGTAATATTTGCATGATATTTGTGCACACTTGATAACTATTGGAACTTAATAAATTATTGCATTAAAGTACCAAAAGGAACTATTTCATATAGATTTAAAGCTCATTTTCATTTCCCATCCCCAAGAAAATAATTGAAGAATATTTTAAAGTATTATGAGTGTTCTATATTAAAATGAAATATAACAGCTTATCTTTTGTGAATAAATTCTGTGGGAACCTGAGCCAACCAGCAATAATAATGAACCTAGGGATTTCTGTTTATTAATCATTGTCAGGCAGCATGGATGTCTTGTTCAGTTTGCCCTATTCTAGTGCTATCTAATCACCCCTAGAGAACTGGTGCTGTATCAGAAAAGGCACCTGTTCATCACTGAAACATGTAGGCAGAAAAACAGGCATATACATAAAGAATTGTGTTAAATGTATTGGGCTGCATTAAGATGGTGAGTCCCACATTACCAGTTAACGAGTTGGGAGGAAGAACACTTGTGATTATGGTCCCCAGCTCAGCACAGAGCCCAAACACCTGCCTAATATTACACAGGTGAGTAGTTTCATTAAAGCAATGGAACTGCTCAAATGCTTAAAGTAAGCTCATGCTTGATTTACCTTGATGCATGCATATAGCATCATCAGATGCATATTGTTCATTTAGGATTAATCAAGAGGTTGCATGCAAATTTGGAGAAGATAATTGTTATTTGCATATGTACCTTTTAGTTACTCTTTTTGGCTTACCTATATGAATGTCTGAAACTCACTTACCCATTCAGAAAAGATTATGTCAGTATGTTGAAGTGAATATTACAGTATGCAGAGCAGAAGCAGTAAAAGAACAGGTTTATAATACAGTATAACCTCATAAATCCGGATCTAAAAAATTCGGAAGTCTCAAAAATCTGGCACTTTAAAAAAATACAGTACACTACACTGGGGAGCCCAGAGCAGAGGCCGCACATGGAGCAGCAGTGCGGGTGGTGGATGGCAGCGGCAGGCGGGAGCGCGGGTGGTGGCTGTCAGCGGCCCCTGCCACTTGCAAGCTTCCCCCTCTGTAGGGGAAGCTTCCCTGGCTCCGGGACTGGCTGCCGCTTGCTCCCCA